CGGTTTCTCACCCTGTGGGAAACGACAGCAACAGGGGCTGTGAGAGACCACCGGGGGCGGGAAGGTAGATCAGGGTGAGAGAGAGAGAGAGAGAAATTCAACACACAATAAAATCAACCAGTCAGTTGGTTTAAATGATCACTTTGATCAGGCCGTCTTTGATTGGCCTCCATGTTACAGCGACCAATCACGCGAGGAACATCAATTTATTTAAAACTACCGTGTTCAGAATTTTTAAACACATGTGTTTCTGATCCGGAGGAGCTGACGTGCTGCGGTAATAAGACGTCTCTTTGCTCTTTGTGATCTAATAAGTGTCTCCTCCTGCGGTCTGTGTCTCCAGCTCCAGGCAGCGCAGCACAGACACAACATATGTCCAGGGTGGAGGGGTGGTACGAAACGCCACGGCTCGGCTTCTCAGTGGGGATTCACCGAGTGGAGGAGCAACATCTGGTGAGAGCGGCAGTTAAAGATTAGCTGCGCTACCTGTAGCTGTAGCTGCTGGTTGTTGTGGTAGACGAGAAAGCAGAGAAACACATGTGGTACGGACGGATAAGAGACAGAGACAGGGACAGGGACAGGAAGTGAGAATCATCAGCATAGAAACGCATACGGCAGACTCCTGTTAAAGGTACAAAAAAAAGTGTGTATTCTCCCCTAAACGATCCTCATCACCTTATGACCAAGATGTGTTACAAAATTAAAAATAATTTTGTTGTTTTTTTTAAAATAAAAAAATCACATCAAGCATAAACTTCCATTGTTTTTTGCTTGTTTTGTGATTTCTCTCCTGGAGCGACAGAAGCAGATGCCGTAGAGTTTTTGTCCATGGAATCAAACGCCTGACTGGGCCACAGTGGTCCTTTGTGACGGCCTGGCCCACCGTAATCCTGAGCCTTTTTTTCTTTTTTTTCTTCCTCTGCACCATGTGTTTTTGCTGGCAGCTCTAATATAACAGAGCGGCAGCTCCGGGAGATTGAAAACACACACTCAACAAGTGAGATTAACATTCCTGTAAACTTCAGATTTGGCAAAAGTCGTGACAGGCCCTGATCGAGTTTAATGAAAAATATTAGGACGTTAATCTTTATGAGGGGGTTGGATTACAGTGTCCTGCAGTAGAACTTTCTTATTTGTGAAAATGTGTGTCTTTCAGCTCTGCATGCTCTAAAGCACGTGTCAAACCCAAGGCCTGTGGGCCTAATGCGGTCCACTGAGTTATTCTGAGTGGCCGGCGGGAGCTTAAACAGACTTTAATCGTCTTATAATAAAGTCTGTGCTGTTGAGTTTTTTAAGCTGATGATTTTTAAAATTTTTATTTACAATATTTGTCACTTGAGATATCATATTTTACGAACTACAGTCTGTGCTGTAGTATAAATCGCACCAGGGACGAAAAAAGTGTGACTTACAGGAGTAGCAGATACTGGAGTGCCCTCTAGTGGCTGCCAGTGTGAAAATAACAAACGTGAAATTATATTTAATATATATAAGTGGCATCTGAGTATAATCTATTCTAGAAACATTTATTAAAACCTTATGTAAAAGTTACATCTATAAAGTCTTCCAATTTAAAGTGAGTTCAACACCACTGAGATAAAGAGAACGGTGTTGATGAGTCAGATACTTTTACTAAAAACAAAAGTGTCGGCTGCAAAAGTTACAGTAAGTTTAAAAAAAAAAAACAACAACAACAACAAAATAAACTCTTGTTGACAAATCAGTTAATAAAAGCTCGTCGTCAGTCACTCATTGAACACGCCACTCGTCAGCTGCCTGCGTCCTCGCGGGTCATAAGTTCAGTCGGAGACCGCGGCGACATCAGTCGGGAATCTGACGCTCCGACGCTCCTGGTATCGATGCTATGTGTCTCACATGACAACACTGTCCAAGAACGAGCGCAAAACTTCGCAAGACTCCTCTCCATTAAATCATCTCTGCACAACTGTGACACTGACACACACACACACACACACACACACCGCAGGTCAGGACCTGGCCACACGGTGGTGAAGCGGTGTTGACAGACCCAAAATCTAAGACCTAAAGCTGACGAACGGCCGGATTAAATAATCCTGACATTTTTGCACTCATGAACAAACACGTGTTTTTCCAATCACTGCCCCCTGCAGGAAGGCTCCAGTAAATCAGCCCTGACGCAGGATCCCCAACCAGAGATATGATTTTATCCTGGATGAACTTCACAGCTGTCTGCCTGTGTGTGTGTGTGTGTGTGTGTGTGTGTGTGTTTGCCTGACCCTCGTGGAAACATGCCGCTGGAACAGTCTTCCCCCCCATTTGTTTTAAAAAGTCACCCCGGTCCCCAGGAAAAGTCCCTGACCCCCAGCACCTGTCCTGTCACTCAGACCCAGGGAGTGCCCTTCAGCTCCACCGCTCCACCGCTCCACCGCCCTCACCGCC